CTCGTGTGCTGGCACAGGTATACGAAAAACCGAGTATGCTCGGTTGAGGACTACGAGGACACTCGTAGAGGAATGTTCGCTGTCTATCAGCGAACGGAGTCTGGTGAGAAGACGTTCAGCCGGGCCTCTTTTATACCCGGCTGGCGGCCGAATGATTTCGAATCGGCAAGCATCGGCGGTTTCGGCGGCGAGTCCCCCACAAAACGGAATTTCGGAACGGTCGGGTGTGGGGGATTTTCGGCGGTTGACCGCCGCTGTTTTTGATAGGAAATTTATCGGCGCGCGATGCGCCCTTGGTGGGCTACGGACGATGGACGGTCCGTAGCCGTAACGATGCAGCCCGATGCATCGTTACATCTTCAATCAGGATAAACACAGATTTTTAAAACTGAAGAGTTTACATCAACAGGAAGACCTGTAAATCAATATAGTTTGAAAAAAGTCATACAACTTATTTGTATCTATTTAGAAAAACTAAGCTCGATAAATTAAAATCATTATAAAGATAAGTTGCCTCTTCAAGTTTCTTTCCAAAAGTTTAACCTTGATAAATCAACGCCAATACTATTTATTTTCATCAAAAAAGTTTCTGGTTATTTTAGACAGCTTCTGCAACAGTAAATTTAATAATGGTATTATCCTGATATAAAATTTTATTATATTTCTTTTTATATTTTCTTCTTCAACAGATTGATTTCAAACATTATTGAATAAATCCAAATTCCAAATTTCCAATTAACTCTAATCACACAGCATTTTAATAAATAATATGCTTTTATTTTTATTTTCTTTGAAAAAAATATTAAGTAACAATATAGTTTGTTAAAATACCTTTTAAATATAATATGGCACATAATGCTTGCACATACATAATTATATACTTGTATTTACAATATTCTGTGTATTATCTTGTGCCACACAATGGATGTGAAAAGATTACATCAAAATTATACAAATGTGGAACCTTGAGATTTTCTGCAAAAATGATAATCAGTAACAACAAATAGCTACTTGTTAACATCATAAATTCACAGATTGCTTTTTATCAATTCCCAAAGCTGTAAATTAGATGCAAATTAGTATTATGGTATCACATAAAAAAATATTAATGTACATGTTATAGCAATATACCTTTTTCCTTTTAGAATATTCAACAATTATCAAATATAACTTTTATGCAGTATGAAAGCTAGAAGTTTTTGCCATTATACTTGCAATTCTCGATGAGTATAATCACTAATAATTATTATTATACATGTTTCTTCATAGAAATACATGGTAAGTATAGAAATAAAATCTAAAACATATAATAACTATTATTTTACATCACACAGCTTCCTAACCTTATATATCGCGAGCAAGTTTTCGATTACATAAAAATTATATTGCAACATTAATAAGTTTCAACTGCCGCGTATTGAAATAAGTCTAAAATATGCAATAATTGTTCATTTATAACGCATTATGAGTAAAATCTAACATTGCAAACCTATGCAAAAACATAATTTGTTCATAAACCGTCGATTACCGTAGCGCTTAATCGTGTTATGTCACGATACCATTATCATTTATGTCAGAGCTCGGCGTTAGACCCACATTTCGGCTCGATTCTTGAGACGACGCCTCCAGCACTCCCACTACCGCGAGGCCGCTGGCGGCCAAGCCGCCGATAGCCTTGACTCAGGAGCGTCTGTGTAACAAATAGGATGATAATGAGCGGGCACCATTTTTGTCAATTTTACACTGAAGATGACCACATCCCTTATGCCGAAACGTTTGTAATAATTCTTTAATAAAATGAACTTTTGAGCAATTCTATCCGACTCCTGCTTTTATTAGTTTGT